CCCGCCCCTGCCCAGCCACCCTCAATAAGCCCCGCCCCTTTGAAGACCCCGCCCCCTTGCCCACCCCATTCCCAGCAGGTCACGCCCAGGTCTTTCTAGGCTCCGCCCAAACTTTCCCAGGACACCCACCACCCGGACCATCCATAAAGGCCACGCTCCCTGACGCCACACCCTTTAAATTCCTTCCGGCACCCTTCTTGTCCCCTCCCCTGCCTCCCATGCCCAGGCCCCTCTCAGCCACGCCCTACTTCCTTGCCCGGCTCCTCTACCCTCCCCCTTGGCCCTGCCCTTCACAGGCCTCTCCCCCTGCGACACCCTTCCATCCCCAGCCCCCTGCTCACAGGGCTCATAGTAGTCGTAGACCGTGACCTGGGCGGCCTGCAGAAACTCCACGGGCAGCATCCTGTGGACCCGGAAGCCCAGCACTGTGTCTTCCTGGTGGGAGAGCTGGGGAGGGGAGTCCTGTCTGAGCCGACCAGGGCCAGTGACCACAGGCCTTGCCCATCACCACTGACCACACACGTGGCCTTGACTACTGGGCGCTGACTTCAGATGGCACGGTTCTCTGGCAACACCACTCAGGAGAACCTTGCTGACCGTGGTCTCTGCCCACCAGGCTGCCCACAACCTGTGGCGGACACCGGCCTTCCTCACCTTCTCCAGGTAGAGGACCACGGTGCTGTCGCTGGATTTCGTCTTGGTCTCGTACTGGAACGCATACATCTCCACCTCGCTCGTGAGCTGGGGCACAGGGTGAGGGCTGCAGGCTCGCTGAGACCCCTGAGGCCCGCAGCCCTAGGAGCTCCAGTCAATGTGAAGTAATTCTAAGCACTTCCAGTCTTTGTCCAACCAACCCCAGTGTTGGGGAAACTGAGGCACAATCAGGGTAGCACTTGGCTAAGGCCAGGCAGGGAGGCAACCAGAAGTGACCGAGGGTCACTGATGAGGGATTAGATTCTGCCCTGTGCTAACGCGGAGTATGGGATGCTGACAGGGCACCCATCCGGCTCAGCAGAGGGCGTGTGGGACCTACATTACCTGTTTGAGGTCATCATGGTTGGGGTAGAAGCCAGTGAGCAGGGAAACCTCCATGATGGTCATTGTGGCCTCTCGATCACCCAGGTACCTGGGAATTTTACAGCTCCAGTCTCTCTTCCTTCTGCCCCTTCCCCCATACTCCCCCACCATCATCTCTCACATGGACCAGAGCAGTAGCCTCCTCCTGGATTTCCCCATCACTCCGCTGCCCCCCAAAGCATACAGCGTTCACAACAAGAATCTGATATGTCACTTCCTTGCTTAACCACCTCTACCAACTGCCTTGTCTCGCCCTCCACTTCACCTCTTCCATCTCAGCCCTCATTTGATTGCTCTGAAGTGTCAGTCTCGCTCTTTCCTCTAGACCTTTGCATATGTTCTCTCTGCCTGGGATCCTCACTTCTCCCTCTTTGCCCTGAAGCACCTTTTTTTTTTTTTTTTTAAAAAAGGGTATATATTTTATTGATTTTTTACAGAGAGGAAGGGAGAGGGATAGAGAGTTAGGAACATTGATCAGCTGCCTCTTGGACACCCCCCTACTGGGGATGTGCCCGCAACCAAGGTACATGCCCTTGACTGGAATCGAACCCAGGACCCTTGAGTCCACAGGCCAACACTCTATCCACTGAGCCAAACCAGTTAGGGCCTGAAGCACCCTTTCATCTTTGCAATCTTGGCTGATGCATCACTCCCTCTAGTAGGCTTTTTCCAGTCCACACATCAGAGCATTCTCTAAGTTGCCCTGTTGTCGCTTCTTGGACCTTTCCTTTGCCACATTTAATCACAGTTGTCACTTTACATTGATTCTGGGCGATTATTTTGTTACTAGGAGCCCAAAGCACAAAATTCGTGCAAAAGTAGGCCTTTCTTCCCCCAGCTGCCAGCACCAGCTTCCTTCTGGCACCCAGGACCAGGGCTTCCCTTGCAGCCCTGGCTTTGTCTGGAAGGATGTCCAAAAAGATATAGCCCCTAACCCCGCTGCCTGCCAGCCTGCTTGCCCCCAACTGCCCCTTCCCACCAGCCTGATCACCCACAAATGCCCCCACTGATGGCTTGCTCGCCAACTGGCCCCCCCTGCCGGCCTGCTCACCCCCAACTGCCCACCCCTACTGGGTAATACAGCCTCTGAAGCTAGCTTTCTGGGTTCAAACCCCAGCTCTTCTGTGTGACTTAGGGCAAGTTGCTTAACCTCTCTGTGCCTGATTGCCCCCAATTGCCCCCCGCCCCCACTGGCCTGCTTGCCCCCAACTGCCCTCCCATCCTGACCTGATCGCCCCTAACTGCCTCTGCCTTGGCCCCACCACGATGTCTTTGTCCGGAAGGACGTCCAGAAGGTCTCTGGAAGGTCTCCTGGTCTAATTAGCATATTACTCTTTTATTAGTATAGATTGTCTGTCTCCCCTGATAAGCTGTGAGCCCCACCAGGCAGGGAGGGACTGCCTTGCTCACATCTGTGCACCTAGATCCCAGAATAGAGCCTGATACTCAGTAGGCACTCAATAAATGTTTTTCTCTGGGGCAGGCCTGAGAGAGGGCATTTGGGAGACCGAGCAGGACTGGATTGGGGGCTGGAATGTCTAGAGACGATGAAGGATAACGATGAGGAAAAGCTGTGGAGCTTGGAGACAGCTCTGGGAATGTGGGGGCTGTTCATTATGGTAGGCCCGCCCCCACCCCATCCCAGGACATAGCAGGATGGGAGCTGAGTGGCAGACAAGCATGGAGGGCAGGGTCGGAGGCAGAATGGGGAATGGGCAGGGGAGGGCAGGATGGGAGGTAGGATGAGGGGGCAGGCACGAGAGGCAGGCTTAGTTGGTTCCCACCCTCCACTCAGCACACAGGGAGAGCTGCTAAGGAGTTTGGATACCAGGAAGTGAGGCCTTCTCCCCCCCAATCCAAGACCCTGGGGCCCTGACCTTGTTTCCATCCGAAGTTGAAAGGTCTCTTTCCCACTTTTTTTTTCTGTAGAGAGAAGGCAGAAGTTCAGAGGCTGGGTAATACAGCCTCTGGAGCTAGCTTTCTGGGTTTAAATCCTGGCTCTTCTGTGTGACTTAGGGCAAGTTGCTCAACCTCCCTGTGCTTTAGTTTCCTAATCTGATTATAATATTCCCAACTCACTAGGGTTGTTGTAAGGATTACATGAGTTAATACAAGTAAAGCACTTAACACAGCATCTGATCAGCATTTTATAACCATCTATTGCTATTATTATTATTATTATTATTACTAGAGGCCTGATGCACAAAAATTTGTGCACTCGGTGTGTGTGGGGGGGTCCCTCAGCCTGGCCTGTGCCCTCTTGCAGTCTGGGACCCCTCGGGGGATGTCCAT